GGCACACCAAACTTTGTCCACTTCTTTTCCACGAATTTTCAATATATATTCCTCCAGTTTTCTTTTCAAGTTTCTCTCAGGAAAGCCGGTTCAAAATCAAGCACTTACCTTCTCCCACAATGCATGGTTGGATTCGTGGCTGTGCTTGGGCGTATACATTGCCCGAGTGAAACGTATCTTGAACAGCTTTTTGGTTCACTGTTTCTGCACCCGCTGTGTGCACAACCTGCTGGACAAGAGTGTCAACGCAGTGTCTCATATCTTGTGAGTGATGCACGGTCATGCCACAGCGACATCCACTCTACATTTACTCCAAAGATGGAATTCGTTGAAACTATTGGGAACCCTTGCTCTCAATTGGTTTCACCTCAGCCACAGAAGGGCAAGACAAGTGGAACGCTAGGCGTAACGCTGCTGAGAAAAGCACTCACGCTGATGGCAATGTGAAGCCATAGCAATCTGTCCTTAAAACTGGAGGGAAAAACACAAACTTGAAGTGTGGTCAAACCAGCTGTTTCTCGAACCAAGCGCAACTCAGAGGCGGCAAAAAAACAAAAATACATCAGAAGGTTGTAACATTGACATCAGTTTGAAGCCCTGCATGGTTAAAAGCTGCTCAAAACAAAACACCAAGTGCCGGGCTCATCCGTGTCGCGAAGGCTTGCCGACATCTTTTCTTCTTTTATCCACTTTCCATCCTGCCATGAGCAAACTGGTAAACCACAATGCTGCAAAGGCAAGTTGAGACGGTGGTGTGCAAGGGGTTGGGTGAGGTGTTGTGAAAGAAAACAATTGGACAAATTCACCTGACCAGCGATTGACAAAAGAGTGAAAAGTGAAAAGGTAGCAAAGACATTGCAATGCAAAGCGCTGAGTCGAGCGAACAAACGCTGAGAAATTGAAGCTAATACAACTAGCAAAACAGTTGGTGGCATAAACTGCGGCTCGTCCTGTTGGCTAAAAATTTCATCTGCGTCACACTTCACTTTGTTCGGCTTCTCTGCCTTAATTGCCTCACGGCAAAACGACAATAACCACCAAGCACTTGCACACGCGTTGAACAAAACATGTTCTGGCTTTCATCGCTGCCTGCTTTGTTTGTCTTCTTCATTCAACGTTCACCAAGGCACAGCATCAAGTTTGATTGAACAACAACAAGCTCTGAGCTCTGGACTTTCTTCAAATAGGCAATATTGGAGGGCACTGGGTCAATTGGGAAAGCGTTGCCCATCTGCTCGAATGTATCACCGTCCTGCAATTGCAACAGGGGGTGGGCGACAGCAAATGGCTGCGCCTTTCGATAAGCAAGTGCAAAAGAACAATGCGCATGACAAGGAATGCAATGCATTACACAAGAATTTTGACCTTGGGATGTGAAAATGGCTGAGGGAAATTTCTTCATGAAGTTTCAGCTGAACAAACCACTTCTGTTCTTAACCTACCACTAGTCAAAGGCTTGAAAAGGAACAAAGGCATAAACTGCTGCATTGACTTTTGCAAATTACAAGCCTTTGATGCTTGAGTGGGAGAACTGACGGAGCACAACCCTACTTTTATTCACACGAC